GTGGTGGCGCATGCCTGTAATCCCAACTACTCAGGAGGCTGAGGCAGGAGAATTGCTTGAATCTGGGGGGTAGAGGTTGCAGTGAGCCGAGATTGCACCACTGCACTCCAGCCTGGGCAACACAGCAAGACTCTGCCTCGAGAGACAAAAAAAAAAAAAAAAAAGGCCCATCTCAGATGCAATAACCCTCATAGACTCAAAATGGAGAGAAGTCTACCAAGCAAATAGAAAACAGACAAAAGCAGAGTAGCAATCTTAATTTCAGACAAAACAGACTTTAAGCCAACAAAGATAGAAAAAAGACAGAGAAGGGCATTGCATAATAAGGGATTCAATTCAACAAGATCTAACTATCCTAAATAAATATGCAGCCAACAGGAGCACCCAGATTCATAAAGCAAGTTCTTAGAGACCTACAAGGAGACTCAGACTCCCACACAATAACAATGGGAGACTTCAACACCCCACTGACAGTATTAGACAGATCAGTGAGGCAGAAAATTAACAAAGATATCCAGGACCTTAACTCAGCACTGGATCAACTGAACCTGACAGATGTCTACAGAACTCTCCACCCAAAAACAAGAGAATATATCTGATCTGTACATGGCATATACTCTAAAAACAACCACACAATTGGACATAAAACAATCCTCAGCAAATGCAAAAGAACCAAAAGCATACCAGCCACTCTCTCAGACCACAAATCAATAAAAATAGAATTCAAAACTAAGAAAATCGCTCAAACCCATACCATTACATGGAAATTAAACAACCTGCTCCCGAATGACTTTTGGGTAAATAATGAAATTAAGGCAGATGTCAAGAAATTATTTGAAACGAATGAGAACAAAGATACAACAGACCAGAATCTCTGGGACACAGCTAAGGCAGTGTTAAGAGAAATTTACAGCACTACATGCCCACATCAAAAAGTTGGAAAGATCTCAAATTAACAACCTAACATCACAACTAAAAGAGCTCATGAAGCAAAAGCCTCCACCTCTAAAGCTACCAGAAGACAAGAAATAACCAAAATCACAGCTGAACTGAAGAAGACTGAGACACAAAAACACCATTCAAAACATCAACTAAGCCAGGAGCTGGTGTTTTAAAAGAATGAATAAGATACGCAGGCTGTTAGTTAGACTAATAACAAAAAAAAATCCAAATAAATACAATTAGAAACGAAAAAGGGGATATTACCATTGATCCTGCAGAAATACAAATAACCCTCAGAGACTATTATTAACACTTCTATGCACACTAACTAGAAAATCTAGAAGAAATGGATAATTTCCTGGACACATATACCGTTTCAAGATGGAACCAGGGAGAAACTGAATCTCTGAACAGACCAATAATGAGCTCCAAAATTGAATCAGTAATAAATAGCCTACCCACCAAAAAAAGCCCTGGACCAGATGGATTCACAGCTGAATTCTATCAGATGTACAAAGAAGAGCTGGTACCATTCCTACTGAAATGATTCCAAAAAAATTGAGGAGGAGGGACTCCTTCCCAACTCATTCTGTGAGGCCAGCATCATCCTGATATCAAAACCTGGCAGAGATACAACAACAAAAAAACTTCAGGCCAATATCCTTTATGAACATTGATGCAAAAATCCTCAACAAAATACTAGCAAACTGAATCTAGCAGTACATCAAACAGCTAATCCACCACAAACAAGAAGGCTTTTATCCCTGGGATTCAAGGTTGGTTCAATATATGCAAATCAATAAACATGATTCATCACATAAACTGAACTAAAGGCAGAAACTACATGATCATCTCAATAGATGCAGAAAAGGCTTTTGATAAAATTCAACATCTCTTCATGTTAAAAACTGTCAACAAACTACGGTTTTTTTGGTTTTTGTTTTTGTTTTTTTTTTTGGAGACAGGGTCTTGCTCTGTCGCCCAGGCTGGAGTGCAGTGGCACAATCTGGACTCACTGCAACCTCCGCCTCTGGGGCTCAAGTGATCCTCTCCCACCTCAGCCACCCGAGTAGCTGGGATCACAGGCACACATCACCACACCTGGCTAATTTTCCTATTTTTAGTATAGCGTGAGCTACCATGCCCAGCCAACAAACTAGGTTTTGAAGGAACATACCTAAAATAATAAGAGCCATCTATGACAAATCCACAGCCAACATCATACTGAATGGGCAAAAGCTGGAAGCATTCCCCCTGAAAATCGGCATAAGACAAAGATGCCCTCTCTCACCACTCCTATTCAATATAGTATTGGGGGCCGGGCATGGTGGCTGACTCCTGTAATCCCAACACTTTGGGAGGCTGAGGCAGGCAGATCACCTGAGGTCAGGAGTTTGCTACCACCCTGGCCAACATGGTAAAACCCTGTTTCTACTAAAAATACAAAAATTAGCCGGGCACAGTGGCATGCGCCTGTAATCCCAGCTACCTGGGAGGCTGAGGCTGGAGAATCACTTGAACCCAGGAGGCGGAGGTTGCACTGAGCCAAGATCATGCAACTTGTACTACAGCCTGGGCTACAAAGTGAGACTCTGGCTAAAACAAACAAACAAACAAACAAACAAAAAAACACTACTAAGAGAATAAAAAGATAAGCTACAGACTGGGAGAAAATACTTGCAAATCACCTATCTGACAGAGGACTTCTATCTGGACATACATAGAATTGTCAAGGCTCAACTATACAAAAATAACCCAATTTCAAAATGCTAAAAAGATGCACAGAGACACTTCTCCAAAGAGGATATACAGATGACAAAGAAACATGTAAAGCAATGCTCAACATTATTAGCCATTAAGAAAATGCAACAGGCCAGGCGCAGTAGCTCACACCTGTAATCCCAGCACTTTGGGAGGCAGAGGCAGGTGGATCATCTGAGGTCAGGAGTTCGAGACCAGCCTGGCCAACATGGTGAAACCTTGTCTCTAGTAAAAATACAAAAATTAGCCGGGCCTGGTGGTGGGCGCCTGTAATCCCAGCTACTCGGGAGGCTGAGGCAGGAGAATCGCTTGAGCCCGGGAGGCAGAGGTTGCAGTGAGTGGAGATAGCGGCATTGCACTGCAGCCTGGGCGACAACAGCGAGACTGCATCTCAAAAAAAAAAAAACAAACACCCAACTATGCTGAGATACTACTATATACCTATTAGGATGACAAAAATAAAACTACTGACCAAGGATGTGGGGTCATCACAACCCTCATCCGCTGCTGGTGAGAATGCAAAACGGCAATGGTTTGGCAGTTTCTTATAAAGGTAAACATACACTTACCGTGTGACCCAGCCATCCCACTCCTGGGTATTTACCCTAGAGAGATGAAAACGTATGTCCACACATAAACCTGGACACGACATGTTTCTAGCAACTCTATTGACAATTGCCAAAGATTGGAAAACCACCCAAATGTCCTTCTGTGGTTCAGAACAGAAAATAAATACAAATAAATATAAAAGGGAACAGACTTTTGATACACAAAACAATTGGATTTGGATGAATCGCCAAGAATTAGAAGGAGTTAAAGAAGCCAGACTCGAGAGCTCATGACTGTATGACGCCATTCATATGACAATCTCAGAAAGACAGCTACAGTGACATATGATGCTGTTCATGTGACAATCACAACACGATGAAGACTCCGGTGACGGAAAATAGATCGATGGTGGCCAGGAAATGGGCAAGAGGGGAGCGTGGAGCTACGAAGCGGCAACATGAGGAGGTTTTGAGGTTCTGTGTCTTGGGTGTGGTGATGGGTACACAAATCTGCACAAGCGCCAAAATTCATTTTCAAAATGTCAACTTTCCTCATAATTAAAAAAACTAAAAACAACAACAACAACAAATATATACAAAACAGTAACACTGAACGCAAAATCAAAACCTAAACGACAACAAAAAAATAAGCTGCAGGAGAACCACATCTTATGATCTCAGGTTTACAGAAAAACCAACATACTTGTTTCTGTCTGTCTACAGAATGAGGCCCGAGAGGCTGGCGGTGAATAAATCCTAATCTTTCTGATTATAGGAGCCCTTTGGTTTCTTTTTTTTTTTTCTTTTTTCTGTACATGGTGACTGATAAGAGTCCTTCACTTTCTAACCTCATATCCTGCTTCTAATTTTTAAAAATAATGTGCATGTATGGATTCTCAGTCAGCATAAATGCTAATAAAGATAAAACAAGCTTTAGCCGAGCATGGTGGTGGGCGCCTGTAATCCCGGCTACTCAGGAGGCTGAGGCAGGAGAATCGCCTGAACCTGGGAGGCGGAGGTTGCAGTGAGCCGAGACTGCGCCACTGCACCCAGCCTGGGCAACAGAATGAGACTCGGTCTCAAAAAAAAGATAAGACAAACTCACATTTCAATGAGTGGCCCAAACGGAATCCTGCTATCTGTTACCACACAGAATGGCTCTTGGGGCTTTGCCAATTTAAAAATGCTGTGTTTATTTCTATCGTGGAGGAGATAAAACCCTACAGAAGAAGGAAAGAAAGGAGGCCTACCAAGAGGTTGACAGACTCGATGACGTCCAGGAACACCTCATTCTTCCGATACTTGATGCCTTCGGACCGCCAGGACACCGCGTTGGTGACGGTGGCTGGGGGCCGTGGGGCCCCTGTTTCCAGCTTGTGGCCTTCCTGAGTGATGTACCTGTGGGGCCACATGCTCAGAGTGAAGCAGGTGGCACCTGCACCAACGCCACAGCTTCTGGCCCTGATATTTCGGCAGGGTCAGGGCGGGTGCAGGGCTGGTTCTAGCCACCTTGAAAACAGCCCCTGGATTTCAGCAGCTCCAGAAAAGGCAGCCTGTGGTTTCACCTGGGGCTGCTTCATTCAGGAAAATCTTCACAATTTCCAAAACCCAATACACTCAAGTTATAGAGTCTAAAGTGCTCATTTGGGGGTGCCAAGAAGACCATGTTGGGGAGGAAAACAAGAAGTGGGTGTGAGCTGCTTCCCATCCCCGCTGAGCATGTGGATGGAACTGCCGCCTCGGAGTGTAACCTGGTGACCCCATCCCGCTGAGGGAGCAGCAGGTGCAGTGGTTAGGAACACAGGCTTCTCGGGGAGTCTGTTTGCTTGACCCCCTGTAAAACGAGGAGACGGTAAATGGGGAGGCTATGAATCGAGTGAATGTGAAGTGCTGGAGCCTGGCCCCCAGGAAGCACTTAATTCACGTTGCTTACTATCTGAAGGGCAGGATTCCAAAGGGGGGAGATTTCGATCAAGTCTCATTTTATGACAGTAAAAACAAAGGAGCTACCTTAGTAGCAAGGGACTGAGGGCATCCGTGCGGATGGCGAGTAAAGATGAGGAGCAGGAAAAGCACTGTTATGTGGGGGTGTAGAGGAGGAAACGAATTAAAACCACTAAGCAACTTAGTAAAAACCCGAATACGGCTGGAGGTGGAAGGCGGGTGGGGGACAATACGAACACAAATTTGCCCCTTCTGTTTCCACATCTGATGACATCGATGTCATGACACTGCCCAGGCCTGGCCCCAGGCCCCACCCCTGCCCACTCACTCCTGCAGGATCTTGCTGTCAGTGGTCTGGGGGTAGCCGAAGTCCATGAGCTCATCCAGCAGCTCGTAGATGATGACAAAGTTGTCCCGGATGCTCTCCTCCTCCAGCTCCTTGAAGTACTCGGAAAACACCTGTGGCGGTGAGGGAGGGAGGGAGGGAGGGAGGGAGGGACGAGAGGCAGATCGTTGAGCAGACAGATGAGGAATGAATGAACGCTTGCACACATTCATTTGCCCACTAAGTCCTACCAACAGCCCACTTCCCAGGCTCAGTGGCGTGCTACGGGCCCTGGACCCAGGTAATGGGGCAGGAGGACAGCAGTGGTTGGCTGTGGGGTGGGACCAGTCTGGAGCTGCTACAGATGTCCCCGTTCTCTTCCCTGCCCAGACACCCCCAGGCAGGGAGCCCCTCCTGAGCAACTGTAACTGTCATCCCTTCCTGAGTCTGGAGTGACTCAGGCGAGGACCTGATGAGCTACCATCTTCCCCATTTCAATGGAAAGCTCAGAAGGTTAAGGAAGGGACGCCAAAGAAGAGGGGCTGTTAGAAGCACTTTTGCAGGCACGAATGCTGAAGGAAGGGGCGTCACTAAAGCAGAAAGGAACTGCCCAACCCTTGGGTGAGGACCTTCCCCTTCCCTCATCCCCCATCCCCTGATCTGCTGACCCCGTGCGCTTTAGGACTGTGATCGCCCGGCCTCTGCTTGGAAATCACAGGTGTCACAGCCAGGCCCAGCCCTGCCTGTGACAGCACCACGGGTCCAGTGAAGGCAGCCCTTGGCCTGCACGCGGGGCCTTCCCAGGTGACCCTCAGCTCCTTCCCCAAGCCCTCGCCACTCAGGCTTGCCCCTATTCCCCAACATTCTGCACAGGCGGCATCAGTGAGGGATGAAAGCTTTCCCAGGCCCAGCACAGGCCTCCTGGGTCCTATTCCCCACTTTCTTGAGCCCCAGAGCCCGCCCCGGCCAGGCTCATCCTCTCCAGGAAGCCAGCAGCAGCCTCCTCACTGGCTTCCAGGCTGCCTTCAAGTCCTCCTTCTGCTCAGCAGCCAGAGAGGCTGCTTTAGATCAAACCATGTCTCGTCAGTCTCCTGCTTAAAGCCCTCCACCACCTTTCATCAGAAGTGGAACGAAATCCACACTCCTGTATAACCTGCCCTCTTCCCAGCTGACCGCAGCTTTATACTCTGCCAAAGGCATGCCGGCCTCCCTGGCCGCACCACACACACACCTGTCCCAGGACCTTTGCCCTGGCTGCTGTCTGCATCTCACTGGCAGCCTGGGCCTGGCGTGTCAGCTCTCTCCAAGGTGGGCCTCGGGCATCTGTGTCTTGAGAGCCCCCTGGGACATTCTAAGCTGGCTCAGCTCTGCAGCTCTGCTGGTTATTCCAGCCCCATCAGCTGGTCACCCCATATCCTTCCAAAGCTGGCTGGGGGACTTGCTTGTCCCTTCCAGGGTCAGGGCGCCACTGCTCAGCCCCACCTTTTCCTGTTCACTTTCCTTTCTTCCCCAGGGTCAGGGAGCAACACGAGCTACAGAATTCCACAGGCATGGCGGCGGGGTTTGGGGCTCCCCTTTGCCACTTCCTGGGGTTCCAGCCCCAGCACTCTCTAGGGTGGCCACGGCTGTCTCTAAGGTGGCCGGGTATGGGGAGGTCCACAAGCAGAGCCAAGACAGCTGCCACCCAAGCCCACAGCCCCGCTGAGCGAGACTCACCTGCACCACCTTATAGAGGAAGGAGAAGACCAGCGACACGCACGCATTCTTCTTGGATGTGGCAACCACTGCACGGTGGTCACAGTTAAGGAGCATTCAGAGGCTGGGGCTGCTGCCTGGAAGATCCCGGTTCATGGAGGGACCCTCTAACCCTCAGAGCCTTCCCTACCCCCACTCCCAGCCGTTTACTTGGCCCATGGTAGGCTACCAAGCTCCTGGTCCAAGCTACACCTGGGACACAGAAGTCACCAGAAAGACATGCTCCCAGGCCCCAGGGAGCACTCACCAAGATGGAGAATCACAGGGATGGCAGGTGGCACAGGGCACCTGTCCCAGTGGCTGGGTGAGGAGCTGTCCTGAGCAGGGAGGGAGTGAGGCTCATTCCAGGAGCAGAAAGCAGGACACACTGGTCCTGCTCCTCCAAAGCCGACACCTCGTCATGACCCTGATGAGGTCCAGGGTCCCCTGGCCAGACTCTGCGGCAAGTAGCCAGGGCCAATTCTGGCTTCAGCCCTTCCTGTCTTTGGAAACATAAGCCTTGGCCCATGAAATAAACCTTTCTAGAGAAACCTCAATATTTCTCTCCTGTGTAATGGGGGCCTGTGAATGAACTCACCAAGGCAATGTACGTGAGATGTCTGGCACAGATGCTCCCTTCTGCCACGGGAGCCAGCCCCTGCCGCCCAGGGTCAGTGTGTGCTGGGCGCTTCCTGTTCCTTTTTCCCTAATGGGCCCCCAAAGAAGGTTGGTTCTTCCTCTGCAGACCCACGCACTGCACCCTGGACATCCCTGTTCACAGCATGTCTGTGCCGCCTGGCTTGTCTGCCCAGCGGTGAGCTCTAGGAGGGAGGGCGGGGGCTGCATCCTCTCTCTTCCCGCCTCACCCCAGCACAGCACAGGGCCCCAGGAAAGGGACGCTGGCCCAGTCAAATGAGCGCTGGCCTCCCTCCTGCTGCCTGGCAATGTGCCCTCCCAGATGCTTTATAAGCAGGGGCAGGGGTGCCTCTCAGCCACGGCCTTGCTGAGAACTGTCCCGGCTGGGGGTGAAAGGATGTCCACTCAGCCAGACGGGTGAGCCCAGGTGTGAAATGTGGGGGCCCAACCAGAAACTGATCTGATGGCTCCTGCTGAGCTCGGACCACAGCCACCTCACCCTCCTGTCAATACCTGGGCGGCTTCAGAGGACTGTCAGCTCCCTGGGTTAAAAGCCACCTAAGATCATCTTCAGAGCTATTCTCAGGGCCTTCCAGAACCAGGTGAAATACACACAGAGGCGCACCACAGGGAGCCCTGGACCAGCACGGCCCACATGGGAATGTGCACACGAGTCACCAGGAACAGATCTTCCTACAATGCAGATTCTGACAGGGCAGGGCTGGGTGGAGCCCGGGATTCTGCATTTCCAAAGGGCTCCCAGGGGATGTGCTGGCCCATTGGCCACACTGTACTGGCAAGGCCCCAAGTGTCTCCAAGAACACAGGAAAGGGCAGACAGCCCGTGTCTGCTGGGAGCAATGTGCACAAGTCAGCTCAACTGACCCGAATGGTCCCGCAGCGAAGGGTCGTTGTTCCCACCGAACTGTGGGAAGGTGAGGGATTCGCCTCCAGCCCTATGGCTGCTGGAGCTGGGGCTCAAACCAGGCTGTGGCTGCAAAGCAGGCCTTTCCGCAGTAGTGTGGGTACTGAGATGGGCCTGCAGGTCTGCCCAAAGCCATGGGGTGGCCAGTTAGACCTCCTGGATAGAAACTGGCTTGGCCAAGTCTCCCCATGGGCCCAAGGACAGGAAGGGTGGGGGACGCTGAGATCTGGGCGGGACTGTGAGGAGTGTCTCCCCTTCTCTGTACCCTACCACCCCTCTGTGGTCCAGGCCACTTCCCCTCCCACCTGCACGATGGCCCCAGCCTACTCCTCACCTACCCATGTCCTCTCCTGTCCCCACAGTCTTGCCCCACTCAGCAGCCAGAAACCTCCAGAAGATGCACATCTAAAAGCCTCCAAAGACTTCCTGTCACATTTCAGATGATGTTCTTTGAGACCCCAGACCCCGCTGACCACTCCGGCCTCACTGCTGCCACACGCCCCCTCTCGAGGGCTCCAGCCACCCCGATTGCAGCTGCTGGAGTGAGCCTTTCCCCTGCAGAGCCTTTACCCACGCCTAGTGCCTGCCTGCCCCTCCAGCTGGCAGACGCCAGGCCTCCCTGCAGGCTTCCTCCAGGGTGTCACTTCCCTTCCTGGGCCCCTGGGCCAAAGGAGTTCAAGTCACACCTGCTCCTCTCCCCACACCCATCACGCGTGTCATCGTGCATTCTCCGCCTGTCTCTGCAGGCAGCAGGGAGCTCCGGGAGGGCTTGGCTGTGTCCAGTGCTCCCGCTGTGCACAAACCAGTCCTGGTTGAAGGCGTGTGGATGTGCACACACACCAACACCCACACAGGAGTCTCCTGGGAGCTGCCCCAGTAAAGGGATACGATACAGGTTGTTGTGTTTGATCCACATGAAACGGACCCCTCCGTGGGCCAGGATGGGCGACAGCATCCCCTCCTCCTCCTTCTCCATCAGGATGGGCATGAAGTGCTCCACCTCCGACATGTCCACGTCGCCACGGTAGTTCCGGCAGATGAGCACCTGGGGTGGGGAAGGAAGAGGAACGATGCTTGCATTTTCAATTCTACAATCCAGGGGCTTGGGGCAGGGGGTGAGATGCACCAGCCTGCTTCCCTCTGGGGACTCCGGTCATGGCCCCTATCCGCAAAAGAGCAGGACTCGAGGCCGTGCTGATCTCCATCCCCCAGGGAATTCCTGGAGAAGAGCATCTCCCAGTGTGAACGTCCCCAGGGGCCACTGCAGTTCTTTGCAGGGTGAGGGTAGAGGGAGAACTCTGCGGCAAAGGTCCAGGACCGAATCATTCAGAGACATCAGGTTAAGTAATGCCTCACAAGCTCTCAACGCAGACCTTCTCAGAGCCTTTGCCGGGCCAACGCACCCTGCTCTCCCGCCTGTGTTAGGGCGCCCACTCCCGCTGAAGATTCGTATTGACTGAAGTCTACCGGTGGCCTGAAGAGGAGAAACCCTCTTCCTGGTCTCTCTCTTTCATAGCCTGTGGGTCAGGATATACAGCATCCAGAAACCCTGTCCACTGCTGATAGGAAAGGAAAATGGGACAGCTGCTTTGGTGTAGTCTGGTAGTTTCTCAAAAAGTGAAACCCAGTGTTACTATCCGATCCAGTCATTCCTCTCTCTGGTATTTACCCAAGAGAAATGAAACCACATGTCTGCACAAAGACTAGCACGAGAATGTTAACAGCAGCTTTAAGTGAAACAGACCCAGACTAGAAACAATGCCAATGTCCTTCAGCAGGTGAACTAGAAACAAACTGTCCGTGCACACCATGAGAAGCACACCTCGGCAACGAAAGGCCTCGGACTCCCGATACGCGGGCGCATCAGAATCACTGTGCTGGCTGAGAGACCAGACAGACGAGCACTCATCCTGTATGACCGCACGTGTACAAAAGCCCAGAAAATGGTGATGAAAAACACATCGGTGGCTGCGTAGGGATGGGGCTGGACAGCAAAAGGGCGTGAGGAAGCTTTCGGGGGCGATGGAATGTGTGGTTATGGCTTCCCACATGACTGAGCTCATCAAATTGCACACTTTAGATAAGTGCAGGTTATTAGTGCAAATTACATCTCATTAAAGAAAAAAAGGAGGTCGGAAGTTTTGCTAGCCTGGGCACGGCTGCGGTTGGAGATGCTGCCTGGAGCAGCTGCAGCTCTTGGGGCCTGCAGGACAGCCAGCTGCAGGACTCGGCAACGCGCTGAGAAGGCCATTGCAGCGCTGACCATCCTGGGAACCAACTGCCTCAGAACTTGGCATTTCATTACACGCTGCCTTTATTCTCTTAAGGAGAGACTGGGGATGGTGGAGGGTGGCACCTTCCTTTCCTAGTGTCTCCTTCGTGGCCTGTGGGACTGATTGGAGGGAGGCAGGTGATGACGTGTTGAGGGACCAGCCCCTTCCCCTGCTGTCACTCGACCCCCCCAGGTCCTTCCTCACAAAGGGTGGCAGGGCTCTTCCTACACAGAGGCCAGATGGGGTCTCTCTCCCACTGTTGAACTGCCACCTACCCCAGCCTCCCCAGCACTGAGGACAAAGCCCAAGTCTGTCCCCGTGGCTCCCAAGGACCGGCGTGGTTTGGCTCCTCACAGTCTCTGACGCCTCTCTGCCTGCGCTGCCCTGGTCCATTCCCCTCCAGCCTGGCCCCTTAGCTGGTCTCTGAGTGATCCACATCTGTTCCCACCTTGGGCCTTTGCCCTGATCTGGCTCTTCTCACTTCTCAAGGCTCAGCTCAAATGATACCTCCTCTAAGGGTCCTCCCAGCTGGGCGCAGTGGCTCACGCCTGTAATCCCAGCACTTTGGGAGGCCGAGGCGGGCGGATCATGAGGTCAGGAGTTTGAGACCAGCCTGACCAATATGGTGAAACTCCATCTCTATTAAAAATACAAAATTAGCCAGGCATGGCAGTGCATGACTGTAACCCCAGCTACTTAGGAGGCTAAGGCAGGAGAATCACTTGAACCCAGGAGGCAGAGGGTGCAGTGAGCCGAGGTTGTGCCATTGCACTCCAGCCTGCGTGATAGAACATAACTCTGTCTCAAAAAAAAAAAAAAAAAAAAAGAAGTCCTTCCTGCTTGCTCTGGCTGAGATCATGTCCCATCCCTCTGCACCCTGACCCCTGCTTTACCCCTATCACCTGCTGTGTTATACATTTATTTGTATCCTCGTCTATTGTCTGACATCCCCTGAGAACAGCGATGACTCCTGTCTCATTCACAGCTGTGTTCCAGCACCCAGAACGGGGCCTGGCCCATAGTAGGTGCTCAGTAAACATTTGTGGAGTGAATACGGGGGTGAGGAGAAAAAGGAAGCGTGGATAATGTCCAGGTCTCCAGTGCAGGTGGCTGAATGGGTGATGGCATCACTGAGATGGAGAGAGAGCAGGTACAGGGAATGCATTGAGAGAAATGCTGAATTTGTGGTGGCGGTGGGACCTCCCTAGTGTCCCAGAGGCCAGTGGATCTCCAGAGAAGTGCTGTGGACAAAGTCAAGAGTCACCGGCCCATGGACATGAGTCAAAGCCCACCTGGGAAGAGTGACAGCATGGGGAGGCACGCGTAGGCCTGAGCCGCTCCACAGCCCCGAGGAGGGCAGAAAAGGAGGAGAGCAGGCAGTGCGAGAAACAGGAGGAAACCCCCGAGCGCAGCCTCCCGGAAGCGGAAGGGAGCGCTGAAGAGGAGGTGGTCAGTGGTGGTTAGTGGTGTAAGAAGCCAGCTAGATAAAGCGGAGAAGCTTCCTACTAGGAGAGCTTCCTTCCAGCCCAGTGTGGCCACGCCGGTGTCCTCGGTGACCAGACACGTGGCCACGAATTTCTCAGTGTGCTTTATTTTTGATTAAATGCAGTCGGCTCACGAGGCCGACTTTGGAAACAGGAGGTCCGTGGGTTGTGGAATAAGAAAGGGCATCATGGTTGCAGAGGGAGGGAGGGAAGCCCATGGCTGCCTTGGGGAGCTTTCTGAAAGGCAGGTCTGATCATGCCTCTCTGGGCTATGGTCTCCTCACGGTGGCTCCTTGTTGGAAATGAAGTGGTCCCCTTGGTCCCTCTCTCCCATCTCAGCATTAGCCAGGACTTCTGGCTCGGCGGCCCCAGCAGGCTGCCCCTTGCAATACCTCTTTTCCACCAGATCGTGCCTGATCACCTTCCAAACCCACTTCCGGCGTTGCCCTCTTCCAGGGAGCCTTTCATAACCACCTCCACCTCCCACTGGCTAAAGACGAGGTTGAGCAACTGCAGGACTTGGGACCTTGTTCCTGCCCCTGTGGCTGCCTGGATCCAACTGTGTGGTAATGTCTCTGCTTCTACGGGACTCCCCTGCTAGACCGGGAGGCCTGGGAAAGCTAACATGGACCATGGGTGGTGCTGAGCCTGTCTCACGCATCTGCTTGGCAAATCTGCACAATAACTCCATAAAAGCCTCTTTTGACCAGTGAGGAAAGCGAGGCTCAGAGAGCAGGTGCCTGTCCCAGGTCACACAGCTGAGCAGCAGAGATGGGTTTTGAGCTCAGCCGTACCACCACAGCCACGGTGCCAATGGACACCCTATGCCTGGCACAGGACAGGGTGCATCCTAGGTGCTCATGAAATGTTTGCTGAAGGAATAAGCCAGCCAAGACAGGCAGCCTGCTGGCACCTCTGGGGAGGCAGTGGCCAGGGCGGAAGCAAGACTCATGCCACCAGGACTCAGGGTACACTGCACACACCCAGCCCCTGGCGTGCTCTAAGACGCGTGTCTTCCCTGCTTCCAAGAAGGTGGGGGAAGGAAACCCAGCACTGGATCTCACCAGTTATTGGCTTTGGTTGGCTTCCAGGGCAGGCACCCACTCAAGGGACTTCAGGAAAGTGTGGGGGTGGGGTGGGGCAGGAAGGGGCAGCCACTTCACATCTTCACTCTCAGCTGCTTTAGGGCTCACCCCTGCCCGCCTCACCTAGGACCTGACACCCACGTTTGTTTCTCTCACTGATCAATGTTGGGTTTAACATTGTTGGACCGGTGCTTGTTGCTTCCACATGCAACAGGCCAGGCAGCCACTTGCCTTGTACCTGGGATGGACTTGGGAGAAGGCAGAGGACCATTTCTAAAAGGCGGGGACAATTCCTTCTTTCAGTTTTCTCAGATCCTCTGGGGAAGATGCCCGGGTTCTAGTTTATGTCCAGCTCCCTGGTGTCTCAGGTCTATTTGTCACCCCTCCTGAGGGAAACCCTCTCTCATCCTCGGGCTGAGGCTGACTGTCTGTATAACACATCCACCCTGCCCCACCACTGCAACTGACATTTATTTGTGTTTTTGGAGATCAGTATCCATCTCCCCAGTCAGCCTGTGAACGTCATAAGAACACAGATTGTTAAGCCCTGGCACAGTGACTCATGCCTGTAATCCTAGCACTTTGGGAGGCTGAGACAGCTGGATCACTTGAGGTCAAGAGTTCGAGACCAGCCTGGTCAACATGGTGAAACCCTGTCTCTACTAAAAATACAAAATTTAGCTGGGCGTGGTGGCAGGTGCCTGTAATGCCAGCTACTTGGGAGGCTGAGGCAGGAGAATTGCTTGAACCCAGGAGGCAGAGGTTGCAGTGAGTGGAGATCGCACCACTGCACTCCAGACTGGACGACTGAGCATGACACTATCTCAAAAAGAAAAAAAAAAAAGCAGGATTGTTTTTTGCTAAACACAAATCGACCCCAGGCTTACTATCCTGCCTGGCATTAGTAGGTGCTCCCCAGATATCAGCTAAATAAACAAATGCTTCTGGATCGGACTCCTAGACTTCCTACTTCTCTGTGACCATTGTGACCTTGGTCAGGTTACTTCACCTCTCCGTGCCTCAGTTTCTCCCTCTATAAAACGGTACTCGTGATCACCATCCACTCACCTAACCCTTGTAACTCACTATCACAATGAACGTGGAGAAATTCCTACTGAGAGAAAGTGCACGATAAACAGAAGCTGCAACGCCCTGAGAGGGCGGGACTGGCTCGAGAGCACCCAGTCCCCGCCACGCCTCGCCACCCCCGGCCAAGGGTCGCGCAGCCCCTGGACACCCTGCCTGGCTCCGAGGCCGGCTGCGGCCCCGCTTCTGGGTCCTCCACCGAGCCCAGAGCCTCTGGCCCGGGTGCCTGGGAGCAGAGGGCGGTGCAGTCAGTTACCTGGCAACGCGGTGGCTGCAGCCCACCGCGTTACCTAGCAACAGGGCGTGGATTACCCACTTAAGACCCCCGCCCGGTTACCCAGAAATAGGGTGGTGCTCTCAGGTGAGGTCTACCGGCTTCTTTGCCTCACAAAAGGGTGGGGCTCATAAGCCGGTTACCTAGCAACAGGGTGGGTCCCCGCGGGCGGAGGCCCCCGCCGGTTGCCTGGCAACAGGGAGGGTGGGGAGCCTTCATTACCTTGCCCTTCAGGTCCAGCACGTAGACGGCGCTAGCAGACATGGTGGCTGCAGGAGGCCTCGGCAGCGGCAGCGACGGTGGGGACTGCCAGGCGTTGAGCAAGGCCGGGCGCCGCCCGCGACAGCTCACCTCCACTTCCGGTTCGGGGAGCCGCGCGGGGACCGTTATGTCCGGTTCTGGAGGAGCTGTCAGGAATGCGCAGGCGCAGGACGGACTCTGCGCAGGCGCATTACGTGGTATGTGACCATGTTTCTTGCTCCCGCCTGAAGCATCCCGGAAGTAAAGCCCTGGGAGGCGGGGCCGACCAAATCAGGGCACCCACTGGCCGCTGCCAGGCTGAGCTATGGAGCCAGAGCAGCTGAAAACCGCCTCCCGTCGGCCGAGTTAGGCGAGAGAGCCTGGTGGTGAAACCGACCTGGGACCCAGCCCTATGGAGCTCACAGTCTAGTGGGGAAGTCTATGAAACAAGTGTACAGTCACCAATTGTGATAAGCTCAAAAGGGAGAGGTAAGGCCGTGGTTACTTGGAAAGAGGTCAAACAAACTTTCTGAATGGCAATCAAACCTTATCAACAGTCACCACCTGTCATTGTCAACTTTTATCAGTGAATGAGCATGCCTGTTTATTGCCTGGAATGTTACGAAAACCAGTCTCACTGAACCTTGACCCAGCGTACCGTGTTTCATTTCTGCAAAGTTAGTAGTCGGTAATGCAACTGGTGGCCCTTGATTAATCCATTGAATCATATCTAATTTGCTTTTATGAAATCTTGGGCTTTGGAGAAATACCTGCATTCTGTTCCAGTTAGCCATCACAGTACCCTGGGGATCCCAACCCTGCAATATCAGAGTGGTTTACCCAGGATGCCTGCCTCTCACATCTTTTATTTTCCCTCCTATCTCCGTTTTGGCGTTTGGAAAGATGATTTTTGCAACTCGGTAATTATATAGTCTTTGCTTAGGATAGAAATGTGACCGAACCTCTAGAAAAGCAAACTAGAATGTTTGAGGACTACTAAGTGATCCTGGGCTGGAAGGATTCTTGCACAAGGCACAGAGCAAGCAGCCAAGAGAGGCTTTTTGCTTTTTTTTTTTTTTGAGATGGAGTCTCACTCTGTCACTCAGGCTGGAGTGCAATGGCACGATTTCGGCTCACTGCAACCTCTGCCTCGCGGGTTCAAGCAATTCTCCTGCCTCTCAGCCTCCCAGGTGGTTGTGATTACAGGCACATGCCACCACGCCCGGCTAATTTTTGTATTTTTAGTAGAGACGGGGTTTCACTATGTTGGCCAGGCTGGTCTCAAACTCCTGACCTCAGGTGATCCACCCACCTCGGCCTCCCAAAGTGCTGGGATTACAAGGGTTAAGTTAAACATTAAAAGACGAGAGAGCCAGTGCCCTTGTACAAAGGCTGAGATGTAACAAAAGCCCACCCAGAATTGTGCCTAGGCTTTTCCTGGGCCTTGGAGCATGACAAGATAATGAAGGAATTCTTAGCAGGACGCTTTTAGGATTAAACAAACTTTATTGGAGGTCTGAAGAAGCTCCTCAGGGCTCCACAAACAAGTTTACTGGGGTTTGAAGGAACTCCCCCAAACCTCCATGATTTAGCAGGAGACAAGATAAGGGTAATCACCCCAGCACCTGGACTCCACTTAGATTAAGTAAATTTACTGAGGTTCGAGGAAGGTCTTCAGGACTCAGATCTTAGTTATAGGTTAAAAGACTATAATAACTTACTTCTGTCTTTAAATGAATGCACACTTACACGTAGACCTATAGCTTGGAAGGTATATGAGCTCTGGAAGACTTTGGAATTTTGAGTTGGTCTGGTAATATTTTCTCCAGGCCTTTTCCCTGTAACCAGTTACAGAAATAAAAACTCTTCCTAGTTCATCTGTGTCTCATTATTGGGCTGTGAGAAATAGAAGTCCAACCCTCAATTTGGTCTGGGAACAGGTTAAGAGTGGGGGTCTCAAAAGCATCCCCAACACAGCAGACACAGTAAGAACCACTGAGGCCTGAAATCCATGTATAGATTCTGTTTTAATTGGTCTGGGCCGGGGTTTGGTTATTGAGATTTTTCTTTTCTTTCTTTTTATTTTTTAATTTTGACACAGAGTCTCACTCTGTCACCAGGCTGGCGTGCAGTGACACGATCTCGGCTTACTGCAACCTCTGCCTCCCAGGTTCAAGTGATTCTCCTGCCTCAGCCTCCCGAGTAGCTGGGACTACAAGCGCCTACCACGCCCAGCTAATTTTTGTACTTTTAGTAGAGACAGGGTTTCACCATGTTGGCCAGGATGGTCTTGATCTCTTGACCTTGTGATCTGCCTGCCTCAGCCTCCCAAAGTGCTGGGATTAC